TTCGCCAGTCGGCGGCCGGTCTGGCCGGGTTTGTTTGCTCGTTTGGCTGCAGTTGCATGCCATCGTCTACGACTGAAGACAGTGAAAATGTGCCCCAAAGGTCTTTGAAGAAGTACAACGGCGCAAGAAGCGTTGGCGCGTTGCTGCTCCACTACACAAGTCGCTATGGGGCAAAGATATTGCGGCGGAGGCGGCACGGCATTGCCAAACTTCAAAATGTGTCTGCAACAATTCATTCAAGTTGCAGACATCAACGTGCAACAACATCGCAATGACTGAGACATGTCTAGCGCTTTTCTATGAGCTCACAATACATACATGGCTATGTGGCAGCATTTACATACTTATTTTGTAAGAGAATGAAGTCAGCCGCAGCGGTTTGCTTGTCTGATGGCTGGCGTGTTTTGCTTTTATTTTTCTTTCCCCTTCAAAATGTACAACTTGCGCTGGCGTTTGCCCGGACTTGACTTGATGTCTGTCTTGACGGCTGTTGTTGTTGTTGTTGCTGTTGATGTTGTTTGTTGAATGTGCGACTTTGTAAACGTATGTAGTATCTCTTTGCTTTTTATTTCTCATTTTCATTTGTAAACAAAATTTATGTTGATACCATCAAATACGACTCTGTGCACCGGTGTGTGTGCCATTCCGCGTAGGCAGTGTGAGTGGGCTCAAAAGGCAAAAGCAGCACGAACGAATAGTTGAGAAATGAGAAAAAGTTGGCAAAGGAAAATTGCATTGCAGGCATTGACATTGAGTTGTCGCTGTTGTGCAATGAAACAGCAATAAAATAAAAATAAATATCTAAGTGTTTTACGCCGAAACAAAGGTGGGTTGTCTTGTACTTTCAGTCAATATGGCAAGGTGTACGACACAAGGCTAATCTTGAAAAGTTTGCATTCTAAAATATGTGACTTTTTATCAACAGCCGCCAGCCGTCTTAGAAGAAAAGTAAATTTAAAAACGAAACCTCAATAAAATATGTTTAGTAAAATAAAACAAAATAAAGTAAATTTAAATAAAATTCTTCAAAGTACTAATTATGGCGGAAGGAACTTATCAATACCCAGGCACGGTTGCCATATTGCCGAAATGTACCATTTTTGGTAAATTTTTCCCGGTTTCATACACTGGAACAAAACGCTATGGCAGGCACCTTGTCGTTGGTGCGGGAGTTTATTCGCATCATGATCAGACCTTATATCCATTCCTACGCTTCGAGCTGCTTTTGAACGATCATCAAGAATTGTCGACCACCTAATCCAGGGCATTAAGCGGCACCGTGCCCATTGGGGATTTTGCATCTGGGGGGTTTACCAGACTGTCTGTATTATAACGGCGCCTTCCTGATACCGGGTCGCTTCAGGCAGTAACTACGGCATGGCCAGCTGCCGTGGTGGACCGTTTAAATTCCCGTTAAAAAACTAAAAACAACATAAAAAAAAATTAAAAAATTTCGAGCAGCAGAGGGGGGAGGGGCTGTGTGGCCGGCATTGCAGGGGAACCGAAGTTTGCTGACGTCAAAGCCACGATCAGCGGATTGTCTTCAGAGTCGAAATCCAAAGCTGTCTCTGTCCCAGTGGGGGTTTCTGCTCCTGTGGAGGAGAAGTCGTGTCTCGCTAAGGGCACGAGTGGGGCCTTCACCCCCCAGCAACTAAATGGCGCGCCACCGCGGCGAGAAACGCACATTTGGACCGCCGCAGGACCACCAAAATTTCGAAGCTACGGCGGTCTATGTGCTGATAAGATAACTGCTCAGAATGCTCCAACCCTCGAGTGGGCTTAGAGGTGCTCAGTATTGCAGAGTCTACGGAGGCCGCGCAGGAGAAGGCAGCCGGCGGCGTGACTGCGGCGCTAGCGGTAAAGAGGCGGCAAACGTCGCTTGAGGCAGAAACCTCTGTTATTAAAAACAGCGCATAGGGGACGCTCAAACGTTTAGCGAAGTCGCTAATCTAGCTGGCTCTGTGGAAATTGACGTTATGGACCGCTGCAGAGCAGACGCCGCTATCGCCCACGAAGAGTGAAAACATATGATGGCTGCCATCTCAGCTGTCTTTCTGAGGGCTGCATAAGCTCATTAGATGCTTCCTTGGTGGGGAGGTGTGGAAACGTGCCAAGCTAGTGAGAGTGGACAAAGCGGATCTTCCTCTTCGACCGCGGGCTCATGTATTGCTCCTTACTGAACTTTCCTCTACGGCGGTGATAGAAAAAATAATTCGGTACTGCAATTCAGCCCCCCGACTTATAACTGGAGGTTTATCTTGCTAAGGAGGATCGAGAAACGATATCGGCAAGCGCTAGTACTGATAAATGCAGAGTTCTTCGATGCTCTCGGCGATACTAAGGAAGTCATAAGATATGGCTTGGAGAAGGTGGCACTCAGGATCCTCCAGGCCGGAGCCAAAGTTGATGACCCTTAGCCTCCAGTAGCATGAGAGGAAGGTAGGGAGGCCGTTGACCCCTGATACCGTTGACTCCGGATACTGAGGCGGCTCCTCTGCCGGAGGATTGGTATGCAGGCCCTTGTTCTACCTACATTATTTGTTCAGTCACGATTCCTGGATCAGAACCATGCCCGCTCCACCTTGATGCCGGCGAACAACACAGGTAGAACTAGAGCCTGTATGCTTATAAGAGATGAACTAAAAGTTTATATTAACCATTTTTTCAGCAAAGAAGAAATGGGGATGACCAGAATGGAGGGAAACGCTGGATAGTTCTGGCTAATACCCGACTATATGCCGCGCTATGACGAGGAGGAAACATTTCGAACGCGGCTGAGGGCGATATAGCAGAAGCCAAGTGAAGGGAAGCTGGTGTTATTGTAGGGTCTGATGTGAATGTGAATCACTCAGTTTAGGGAAGCACGGACACAAACTCGTGAGGTGAGTAACTTTTTAGTTTATCTTAAGTGAAGACTTATTTATTTGCAACAGGTGGAATTCCCCTACGTGTATAACTGCCGCCAGGGAAGAGGTCCCTGACCTTACGGACAGTATCTTTGATTCCGGATTGGAAGGTTCTGATTGAACACTCCTTATGGGATCACATAAAATTTTTTTCGGGCGACACGAGTCGCCCAAACAGACCCTTCAGGAATCTGAGGAGTACGAACTGGGATCTGTACTGCAAGAATATTCGCCGAGCTTTGTTTGATGCACCAGAAGTAAACTCTATGCAGGGATGCTCTTGAAAGCGCATGTCCCCTGAAATTTCAGAAAGGCAGACGGAAACCCTTTTGGTGGAGTTAAGGGCGTTAAGCAGACGATTATTCAATAGGGCTCGCAGGAGTTAGTTACGTTCTGATTGGGAACTTTATAAGGTTGGAATGAGAATTTAAAATACCGAGATCGGAAAGAGAAGACGTAAAGGGTTTCGTAGAAGGCTTTCTGCAAAAACGAAGCAGGGTGTCATGAGTCCTCAAGAATACTGCTTATTAGGCTACTCGAGTGATGAGGCGGAGCACTGGACTATAAGTAGCGAGGAGTCATTTATATAACTTTTCTTAAGGGAAGTGCGCGGAGACCGCGTGGGTTTTTCGGTTTTCCTGGATGACCTTGGTCTGACTTGAACGATAAACCTTTCAAATCCCTAGGATGCAATGGCATTATACCAGCACAGCTGCAAGGGTCCTGAATATGGTACTTACCTTACGAGAACACTCTTTATTATTTTACCTTTAAGGATCGCTACATTTAAGAAACCAATATTATTTTGAGGAGTTAAGAAGACTAAGATGCGCATTGATTTAATCCATTTTTGGGTAAAATTTTTTATTTCAACCTAAAATGCTTTTCGTATATTTCCAAAGCATATGACTGAAGTGTAATGCGTTTTGTTCATATTCAGCTACACCTTCAATCGAAAACGGCGTAAGCCAGAGGAGCGTTTGCTACTAAATGTTTAAGGGTCTAGAACTCTTCACTTCAAAGTCCGATATTTTAAGTTTTCTTTAATTTAAGGCAAACATAAGAACCCCGGCGGACTGTTAAATAGCATTTTTTCTTGCCGCTTAAAGAGTAAAATTAAGAGAAGTATCAAAAATGCAAAATTTAGCGCAGCCGCAGAGCATTCAAAACAGAGCCAAAGAAAGATTGTAAACACAACGAAGTGATACGAAGCTGATCCATAAAAGCCGGTTGGCAGACCACTATTCCCAGTATTTATACATATATATATGAAGCAAGCCGTTATTGGAATCAAGCGCTGCAACCACACACTTACCCTCCCCACCCCATGCACATAGTCTAAATCACTGCTACTCGTGTCAGGTGTAGCCACGTAGCGAATACGGCGCGCAACTCACTTCAAGAGAAAATGAAAAAAGCAACTTGAAAGCAATAAGTAATGCATGAAAAGGTACGTTGTTCTCTGTAAGAAAGCGCTACTTTGTAATGCATTATTTCCACGCGATTTATGCACGACACAACTGTTGTCCACTGAAGAGGCGAGCTGGACGACAGCCAAGGTAGAAAGGTGGGTAGTTGGCCGCAGTCGGCAAAATTCCAACGAACGCAACGAAGGTGAACACACGAGCAAGTGTCAACGAGTGAGCGGCAAACGGCGGCGGCGACAACGACCGACCACCACCATGCCGCTCTTAGATGTATGGCGGCGGTATAGTGGCGAGCGCAAGCATAGCCGCGCTACATTGAGCGAATTTCGTTGCACTTTTGGGAGGGAAAACCAGAAAAACCGCTCGCAAGCCGTTGATTTCCTGGCGGGACGAATGGGAGCACGAACGACGAGGTGTAGCAAGGTGAGATGAGGTGAGGTGAGGTGAGGTGAGGTGAGGTGAGGTGAGGTGACGTCGGTTCTGGTAGGTTGCTAGTTCCCTGTATAGATGGATGCAATGTAGGGATGCCGGTGACGTCGACGTTGCTGCTGCCGCTGTAGTGGCTGCTGTGAACTTGCCAAACAAGCTGCCACTGCTTGCCGCCTGCTTGGTAGCCTAGCTGTGCCGACTTGGGTTGATTTGACTTGGTTTGGCTTGGCTTGACTTGGCGGACTGGTTGGTTCGTCGTTGGTTGCTTGGCTGGTTGGTTGGCCACGTTCGTGCGTTTGCCTGCTGCCAGAACACAAACAGTTTGTGCGGCAATTGCGAAATGGACGGTTCGTTGTTGCGGATAAATGTATAAAGACGCGAGTGTACTGCCTTGCTTTGGCGAATTTATTTTTGTGAATATTTAGTGTTTGAAAATATTCTAAAAAAAAAATTTAAGAAACATTTCTGAAACGCTTAAACATTTGGCATTTAATAAGCGAAATTTTAATGATTTCATCAAGTTTGAGTGCTGCCGAGCGTGACTCAAGCTGCATTGCGGCAAGAAAAAAGGCAGAAAAACTGGCTAAAAGCTGCAATATAAAGTAGTGTGGCAAGTTTAGAGTTGTAAGAAGCCTGCAAGCAACATAAAAGCGTAACGTTACATAAAAGTTGGAAGCAAGCAAAACAGGCAAAGAATTTAAGTTTTTTACATCGAAGGGATTAAAAAAATTTGAAAAAAAAGAAATAGTGCAAAATTTTGAAACAAAACGTCTCTAAGAACCGTTAAAACGATTTTGATTGCAAATAAAAACAACAAACATCAAACCATCTGATATTAGGCAGTTCAGCAAAAGGCATACGGCATCAATCATCCTAACAGCTGTTGGATTGAAAAGGTTAATTTTAAATTAATATAACTGTATATATTAGTCGAATGCTAACAAGCGGAACAAGCTTCTTAATAAGAATTTGTATTAACCTTTTTTGAGGAGCAAAATTTCAAGGCTCAAGTGTAGTTGTTAGGTATCTATGCCTTATGTATATGCACAAATGTTTGTAGGTATGTGTGCGTATAGCCGGACATCTGCGCTCAATTCATCTTCTCCCCATTCAAATCATTCAAATGCTGCTCCTGATTTGTCAGCACTTTATAAGGTTTACTTAACATTTTCCAGGAAAATTCAATGATTGCTTTTATTAACGCTTACCTTTGCTGTTTACATTTCGCAGTAACTGTCTGTACGGTCTGTTCCATATCCAATTCAATAGCCCTGGTCTTTAGTTTTCAAACACACCGGCACACTTCTTGTTTGCGTACCAGCCCAGAATTTGCTAGACTTTTTTGTACTCTTAGGTATTTTCCATGCCAGTAAACCCAGCCAGTGGCCACTCATACTCTTCCACTCTGCAGCTCGTTGCGAACTTTTAACCAGCTTACACACTTACATATTTATTGGTTGACTGGCAAGGTAACTCACTGCTGTGCTTGCTACTCGGCTGGTTACAAGCTGGTTGACTGGCTGCATGTTGTTTCCGTGGTAACTGGGGGTACGTTGAAACGATTTAATAAATGTTGTTAACCCTTGAGTAGCGGTTGGAAAAATTGCAAAAGTTTTTAGGTGAAACAAAAATTTGAGCGGTGAAAGAAGAGTTCGCTGAGACTTTGTCCAAGCTACGTCATTGGGGAAAACAACATTTGACATACATGTAAAAGAGGGAGAAGAATTTATGAAATTTATTTGGCGAACTTACATCATACAATAACTTGTTGGTCTGTATCACCTTTTTCTTGCAAACCTGACAATTAAAGGTTACACATTTCATCCAATTTTTTTTTTTTTTCAATAAAATTTTATGTTTATGAGTTAATCATTCGATGTCTGGGATTTTAAGGTTCATAATGAAAAGTAAATAGTTCTCGGTTTTTTCCGATCTATAATTCGAGGAAAGCGATTTTAGCACGTAATAATTTTCACAAACAAGAGGAGTTCCATCAGAATAAATAAATAACCAAAAATTTAAATCTATTTGCAAAGGCTGACTTGAAAACAGCTTTATAGAAGGGGTTCGTAGGAATTATTTATATATGTACAAGCATTTTTTAGCTTGAAAAATTTCCTACAAGTGGTGCTGAGGCAAACTGATATTTGATACTCATTTTGTGCCTATAATTTAAATTAGTATATTGACATGAATTCAGATTTACAGAGGTTTTTGAGGTCGCTGAATTCGAAACCGAAGACAAAATAACAAAAAACAAAATTGTCTATCTACAATGGCGCTGGAAGTTAAAAGAAATATGTAGTATTGATTAGGATTTTTTAAGTTTGTATTTATCAGACTATGGAACAAAAAAAAAAACTAGAGTGCGCATATATCAGGTTTGATAGATGTTGGCAATACAAACAACGCCTCATAATCAGATTTACTATATCAATTCGTGTTCTCAAGGAAAAAATTCATTATCCAAAAATCCAAGTATATCTAGTGGTTAAATTTTTTTCCCAAATTTTGAAAATTTATCGGTTTTTTGCCTATATTTGCTGAAAATTGCAAGACAAAAAGATGTTTTTTCATTTTTTTTTTCTGGAGAACACGAATTACTCTGGTAAACCTAAGGATGTAAGTCAAAAAAATACATCGATGTTTTTTTTCATTTGATGCATCGAAATATAGCATCGATTCATATCGATATATCGTATAAAAACATCGATATTTTCGATGCATCGAATGAAAATATCAACAGTTTCTCTCAATTAAAAATATACAACAAGAAAATTAAACAATCGGAGCTTCGATAAATATTTAAGTATTAACTCACGGTGAAGTGTATTTATTGATTTAAATAATAACAACTCCCAGTTTTTTTTGGTTCTTTTAATAAGCTTTCGAAAAAAGGTTTCGGAAGGTACTAATATGGCGACCATAAGCATAGTAAAATAATATAAAGTGTGCCAGCTAACAAAGAGATTCTATTTCGGTACACTTATTTGGTAATTTATCATCAAATTTTTTTCTTTCATTTGACACCATATTGAGTGATAACTTTTATTTGGTTTTTGATTTGAGAAAAGAAATAAAAAAAAACATGTCAAGAAATTCTTGCCGCTTGTGCAAACTTTGCAATACTGATTTTTTCAGTCCCTCAGGATGAGGACTTAAGCCGAAATCGGGCAAAGGGGTGCACAAAGCCAAAGGTCAATGCCAGAATAGAAAAAAAGCGAAAATATGCAAATTTTTCTTTTAAATAAGAGTACATCACTTTATATTATTTCACTAGGTTTATAAGCTATGTGAAACCATTTTGGAATTTGCTATTTAAAATCTGTCAAATTTCGAAAGGGTTCTAGAGTTTCAATATCAGTATACGTAAATTTTAAGTAAAATATTGCAACGAGTTTATTTCCTAAAAGGCATTTAAATGCTCTCTTATCCAGAATTAATAATTTTGAAGAGAGTTACCAACTATCTAAAAATTTAAATCTCTATTCATAGCAAAGTTTCTTGTTTAAGACCGAGCTTGAGATGTCTTTTTTGTTATTTGTCTCTCCCAAGGGAACTTTTTAACCCTCACTTCAGCGAAGAATTTCGAGCCAGTCGCTACACTGTTAGTCACCCCGGTGACTATATGAATATTACATGCACTATGCATACACCTCGAGCAAAAGTATATTTGAATTTCCGAAAACGAAACTTAATTGGTAGTAGGCGACGGATAAACTGTTTTAGCGAGGTTTTGTTGTTGTTGTGTATTTGAATATTGGAAAAGGACTTTCCGGCAGAAATGAGTGTAGTGGAGATAATATAATGAAATCGAATTGGAGCTGGAAGAGCAGACAGAAAAAGAGGCCGTTCAGGAAGCCGCTTGGAATTCAACTTCCAACCATGTAGAGACAGGTGAGGTTTATACCTCAAAAGATGATATAATATAATCGAGAAAGCTAATGCCTAATGATGGACGTCCATAAATATCGAATAAAACAGGTGAAACCCAAATCGCTCTTAGCGTGCGTGGGTACCGCTAGGGATGGCACCGATTAATGATTTGATTAAATTAATTGATTATTTTTGTTCAATTTACGGTTTAATTGTATCGTAGTTTTATGTTTTATTACTCGACTATTAATCGATTAATTGTAAACAATCGTAAAAATATTTTCTAGAAATATGGGCCCCTCATAAATCTCTTGTACACAAACAAAGCCGAAAAGATGATGATTTGGGTCACCCATAAAAATAAACTAGTTTTTAATTAAATTGTTTAGCCCTTTTTTTAAAAGCTGGTGTTACAGGCATCGAGAAACGTAACCGCTTAACAACAAAACGCTTATCTATCAAAACTTAGTTTTTGCAAACTCGTTTAAATAATAATTAACAACAAAAAGCTTACTGAAACTTTTATTTTTGCAAACTTGGGTAAATAGTAATTAATTATCATCGCTAAAAATACGCGTTTTATTTTATTTAAGGCTAATTAAAAGGAGAATTAGAAATTTTGTATCGAAAAGTGTTTTTGTGAATACTCACTGCAAAAAAGTGCATTTAAAAATTCGATTAATTGATTATTTCTAAATAATTGCAATTAATTTTTTTGGCTTGTAATTAATCATATGATTAATTAATCGATTTTATTTTTTATTTTTTACCATCCCTAGTACAGATTGTTTCGATTGAGTTTATTTTGTTTCATTGTAGGCGTCAAACTTTTCGTGGAAATATTCAATTATTCGCTGGCCCTTGGCGAAGTAAATTTCCATGGATGTTACGCTGATTTCATTACTTATCACCAACCATTTCTTATATTTTTTGTATATTTTTATTTCTTTTTTTATTTAAAATCCACCAATTTAATTAAATTTAATCACGTCCAATCACATACGGTCACCGGGGTGACTAATACATCAAAAACGAATAAGACATGAACTTTTATTTATATATTTTTTTTTTAGTTGAAGCTAAAGACAAAAAATACAGTGGAAAAGTAGCCTAAACGAAATCGTAGTAAAGTCAATTTGGATCATAGTCCTAACTAAATTAAAGCATGGAAATTTTTTAAAAAGTATCTCCGAAAACCACCACAAATAGCTAAACGAAGGGTTAAAATGGAAAAATATGCCCAAAAATATAAATTTGCGGAAAAATGTGTTTTACTTTAAGTCTTGATCGTAATAGTACAATTGAAACGGTTGCTCAAGTTCAAAATTGTATCAATGCTGAAAAATTTCGTAGGATTCTTAGCAGTTCCATCTATAGTTGCTAGATATGATAAAATCTGCCGAAATAGCTTAGACGATTACAGCGCCAATAAAGAAGAAGAAAAAGAAGAAGGATGTTAAAAAGTTATTATGGAATTTTGATCAAAAATACAAGAAGAAAATATTTGTGGCTCGTCTGCTTCGACGGTAGTTCGAATTCCTTGACATTGTAATTGTCGTGAAAATGACATGACAATCGTTTGAATTAAAAATCATTTATTTTGCCCTTATAAGAATTTATGAATATGAATAAAAATAAAATTTTACGCTGCCTCCGATCATATGTCATCATGTACTTCGTTTATTATATATATATAAAAGCTCTTGCCTAAATCCGTTCAGTAGCGTGGTTAAAATATTTCGCCTTTTTTTGTGCTATATATAGAAGATTGTAATTTTAAGTAGGTGGCAACCCTACTCAAAAAACTTAAAGTTTTTGTACATGCGAAAGCCATGCACTTTCATTTGGTATCTCATTTTTTTATCCAACGGACGGTGAAGATCTTATAGTCTTTAAACAGGTGGCAACCCTACTCAGAAAAACCATACATTATAACACATTCAGAGGCCAAGTGTTTTCATTTGACAGTGACGGCGCAGAACTGACGCCTACGCTTATTAGAATTGAATATGGTAATTTT